AGCATCTGACCAGCATGAAGTAAGGGCTGAAGTGACCAAACCTCATCATTGCTCTCCTAAGCAGCCCCTTGCCTATTCTTTCCAAACCCACTATTTTTTTTTTTTTAAGAGGAGGAAAATATATTTGGTACTCACGGTTTTAGAGGTCTCAGTCCACAGAAGGCCAACTCCATTGCTCTGGGCCAGAGGTGAGGAAGTCCAAACCTACCCTTAAATTCACCACTTGACAACTTATGTGAGCCTTTCAAACACACATCTGACTGAGTCCTTTGCTGCTGAAAACCTTGACCTTCCTCTGTTCACCAGAGATTGAACAGCAGCCAGGGCCCATGAAATCTGTTGCAGCAACCCCACCTGCTCCAACACCCACCTCTGGTCTTTGGCCTTCTTCTATTTCCTTGAAGGCACATTGAGCCTTTGCACATGCTGTTCCCATTGTCTGAGACATTCTTTCCTTCTGTTGGTTAATGCAGTGGTACTGGAAGTTCTCCTGGGAGTGGGGAAATTGAGACCTGAAGGAGGAATAAGAGTTTGGAAAATACACTGGGCACAGTGGCGTACGCCTGTAATCCCAGCAGCTGGGGAGACTGAGGAGGAGTATTGTGAATACAAAGCCAGCCTTAGCAACAGTGAGGCGCTAAGCTACTCAGTGAGACCCTGACTCTAAATAAAATACAAAAATAGGGCTGGGGATGTGGCTCAGTGTTTGAGTGCTCCTGAGTTCAATCTCCAATACCAAAAAAAAAAAAAAAAAAAGAGAGAGAGAGAGAGAGAGAGAGAGAGAGAGAGAGAGAGAGAGTGAGAGAGTGTGTTTGGAGAATCAATAGGGAGGGAGATAGTATTGCAAAAGAGGAAACAACTGATGGGAGGAAGTGCCCATGCAGTAGAGCGGGCCCAGAAGGGAGACTGAAATGAATGAGAAGGAAGCAGAGTCCTGAAGGTCTTCTGTGTTAAGGAACTTGGATGCAATCCTGAGGTCAGTGGAAACTATGAGCAGGGATAATAACAGTTTTGCCCTTTAGTGTTTCTCCAAGTAAGGTAGAGAGTGGCTTATCAGCACCGTTCTGAAAAGTATAGCACCCAGAACTGAACAGTCCTCCAAGAATAACCTGTAGGAAGCTGGAAATAGTGGCACATGGCTATAATTCCAGTGACTTGGGAGGCTGAGGTAGGAGGATCACAAGTTCAAGGCCAGCCTCAGCAAATGAGTGAGGCCCTAAGCAACTCAGCAAGACCCTGTCTCTAAAGAAAATATAAAAAAGTTCTGGGGATGCAGTTCAGTGGCTAAGCACCCCTGGGTTTAGGCCCTGATACAAAAATAGGGATTGTGGCTCAGCGGTAGATTGCTCACCTCCCACGTGTGAGACCCTGGGTTCCATCCTCAGCACCACATAAAAATAAATAAGTGAAATAAAGGTATTGTGTCCAACTACAATTAAAAATAAAATTTTAAAAATACATTTAAAAAAAAGAAAGAAAGAAAAGTGACCTTAGGCACCAGCATGGGAAGATGTCACTTCACTGGGTCCCAAACTTAAAACCTCCACTCCACACCAGGTGGAAGTGGAGTGCTGCACTTCCCATGGATGCCAGGAGGTGGCACCAACACCACAGTGTGTCTCCAGGAACTCAGTGCTGGGAGAACCCTCAAGGGGCAGAGGCCAGAGAGGAAAAAGGTGGTGAGGAAAGGAGAGGCAGGGGATAGACCTGACAGGACTGGGGATGCTTGGGGAATTTGGATGGTTTTGGTTCCCTGTTATTTTTCCTTAGGATCAAGCAACATCGTGTTTGAGTTTGACTCCCATTTTCACCATTATTTGTTCTGTACTGCATCCTCAGGCCCCTGGAACACTAATGTGGACTCTGTCTACCTGTTCACCTTTACCCTTTTCCATCTACAAGTTTTTTTTTCCCCTATAGTATGGATGGAACCCAGGAGGGCCTTGTGCAAGTTCTCTACCACTGACATACACCTCCAGTCATCATTCTGTTTCTTACCTGTTCCAGTCAGCACTAGATTGCTGAGGTCCCTCCATGTGGCTGTGCATACTGTTGGATCTTTTTCACTTTGTGTGTGTGTGTGTGTGTGTGTGTGCGTAAGTGTGTGGTGCTGGGAATGAAACCCAGGGCCCTGTGCATGATAGGCATGTGCTTTACCACTGAGCCACATCCCCAGCCCCTCTGCATATTTTATTGATAAACCTCCAAATAAGGGACTTCAGATTGCCTCTAACCTTTTCCCCATCTTCCCTGGAAGGTCATGTGTGAGAATATTTTGGGGTGGGGGAGGGGTTCTAAGTTCTAGGCCAAATTGCCAAATACTAGGGTGTGTGTGTGTGTGTATGTGTGTGTGTGTATTTAGCTGAGTGTTTGTAGACAGCTCTGGAATAGTTTAGGCATAGCCCAGGAAGACCCTCATAGCCTTCTGAAGGCAACTGTCATTCTCCAGCTTTCCGATTTTTGCTGAGTATTGTGAAATTTCAGGATCTTCTCATGTACTTGTTAGCCTCTGGGTTTCCTCATCAGTCAGTTGTCTGTTTCTACCCTGCGTTTGTATCATTTTGAGGTATCTTATCCTTGAGACTTTTCAAGAGTACCTTAGATATTGGTCCCTTATCCCCTATACCAGCCTCAACACATATTGAGGAAATCCTGGTCTACAAGCAGAAGCCTTCAGCCTAGAGGTTCCTTCAAAGGCTGAGCCATCTCAGGGTCCCCAGCCCCATATTACAATGGGGACCCAGGGTCAGAAGATGGGCAGGGGATTGGGAGTCCAAGGCTTATCATTGTGGTCCTCTAGCACATAATATGTATATTTCAGGAGGCCTGTTTAAGCTCTCAAAGGTTTTTGGAGCCTCTTGGAGATCAGCTCTCCAGCCTGAGATTTGAATTTTGAATTTGGGAAATTCATTCAACATCTATTAATTCCATGAACATCTATGAGTACTTACTATATACCAGAGCCCACTTATAAACACTTCCTCCTGCTTTTGTGCCAAGGATTGAACTCTGGACCTTGCTAAGCACAGGCATTATCACCAAGCTACTACTCTGGTTGTGGACACTTAAGGTACACCTGTGGACAAGTCCTTGGCTTCTCAGAAGTCACCTTCTAGTGAGGTGTCAGCCAATAAAGAGTGAACAAATAAGACAATTGGCCCAGAAAACAAACAAGGGGATAAAATTCGGAATATAGAGGCAGAACTTTAGCCAGGGTGATCAGGAGAGGCCACCTTTAGGAGGTGACCTTTGTTCTGAGAGCCAGCCAGAAGAACCTGAACAGCATTATAGTCAGAGGGACCCACAAGTGTAAAGGCCCTGAGGTAGAAGTGAGATTCGGGTGATGAAAAAACAGAAAGAAGGTCACAGGGGCTGGAGACTAGATGGGTGAAAGGCAAGCAGAGTGTTGGTTAGTGGTTAGGGGCCTGGTCAGGCTGCAGCCAGTAGGAGCAGGTTCAGGCTGGTTGGTGTGTGAAGTAGACAGGAAGACAGTTTAACCTCAGCATGTGGCTGCTCTGTAGGGTACTGTGCCCTGAAGTTTCTGAAACTTGGGGTGCTCTAAGGTTTAGGCTGGAGAGCTTTGTTATGGACCCAGAGGAGCTATTTGTTTTCCTTAATTATTTTCTTCTTCTTCTTCTTCTTCTTCTTCTTCTTCTTCTTCTTCTTCTTCTTCTTCTTCTTCTCTCTCTCTCTCTTTCTCTCTCTCTCTCTCCATATATATATATTTATGCCAGGGATTGAACTCAGGGCCACTTGAACACTGAGCCACATCCCCAGCCCTATTTTGTATTTTACTAGAGACAAGGTCTCATCTCACTGAGTTGCTTAGTGCCTTGCTATTGCTGAGGCTGGCTTTGAACTCTTGATTCTCCTGCCTCAGCTGGGATTACAAGCGTGCTCCACCACACCCAGCTTTTCTCTTCTTGGAAAAAAAAATTCTTTTTATCTTTCTGCCAGCCAGCCCTTCTCCTCTTCCCCTCAGGAAAGAGGACTGGGACCCCCGATTTCCTGGAAGCCTCAGCTATTAAGGGCAGAGCCTCCCCAAAGTACTTCCCTGGCAGGAGCCTCATCATCCCCCTGGCCAAATCATTTGGTCATTTGACAGGTCTCAAGGTGGCCCACTCTGCCCTGAGCTGAGTTCTCAAGAGGTGGGTCCCCTGAGACCCCTACCTTGGGTGGGACAGAGACAATAATGGGTGCATAGAAATGTAATGCCTAGATTGTGCTGTGAGGTTAGACAGGGTGGGCTTGTTGGAGAAGGGACAACTGAGCTGAGTCCTGAAGCATACAAGGGTTCCAGACCTGCAAGAGACCCACAGCCATCCCACTTAGGGCCGAGTGGTGAGGTCAGGAAAGCCAGGCCAGGCTGTCAAGAGTACCAGCGGGAGCCTGGCACAGGGGACCCAGTAAGAACTGTGCTGTGGAATGTGAACAGAGATGGAGCTGGAGAGGATGTGGGGAGCGTTGGAAGAGTTCAGCTGCTGGCGATTTCATGCCCCCTCCTCAGTCATTTCTTGAGGCCAGGCCCTGGGCGGGGGGCCCAGGTGCTGATGAAGGTCAGATTTCGGTAGTAGCAAGGGAATAAAAAGGAGATTTCCTCTGGAGGGGAGAGCCCTCTCCCCCTGAGAGAGCTGCAGCTGCCTCCCACACATACTCCAGGATTAGGCCAAATCCTACAGCAGGTGGAGGGGTGGGAGGGGGCCTCCCGGTTAGGGTCCTGGGAGTGTGGGAAGCAGTGGGCAATTGGGGGTCAAGTATGTATAGTCTTTTTTTTTTTTTGGTAGATGGACAAAGTACCTTTGTTTATTTGTATGTTTTATTTTTCTTTTTTAGAGAGAGATAATTTTTCTAATATTTTTTTTTGTTAGGTTTTCGGCGGACACAACATCTTTGTTTGTATGTGGTACTGAGGATAGAACCCGGGCCGCACGCATGCCAGGCGAGCTACCGCTTGAGCCACATCCCAGGCCCATATGTTTTATTTATTTATTTTTATGTGTTGCAGAAGATTAAACCCAATGCCTCACACGTGCTAGGCAAGGCTCTACCACTGAGCTACAACCCCAGCCCAAGTATGTATAGTCTTGACTGTGCTTTTAACTGTGCCTGGACCTGGGAATGGGTCACCTTCATCTCTTTTGTCAACAGACACTCTTTTTTGGGTACTGGGGATTGAATTCAGGGCACTAAACCAAAGAAGCCACATCCCCAGCCCCTTTTATTTTTTTATAGCTCAGTGGTAGAGGGTCTTGCTAAGTTGCTGAGGCTGGTCTAGAGTTTGTGATCCTCCTGCCTCAGCCTCCCAAGTCACTGGGATTACAGGTGTGTGCTACCACATACCTGGATGAGGGTCTGGGGGGGTGGGCAAGGACAGTGACAACTAAACTGGATGTGATTTCATGCTCTTCTCATGGCTGTCCTTACAGGAAGGCATTTTTGTCCCCCATTTCCAGATGAGGACACTGAGGTTTAGAGGAGGAATCTGGCAGGAAGACTGAGAAAATGGAGAGAGTTTCTCTTGGGGAAGGAAGAGAGGAGGAGCAAGGGTTTGGGTTTATTTTCATTGAGAACATTTTTATTTTCCTAGTGCTGGGGATCAAACCCAGGGCCTTCATGCATGCCAGGCAAGTGCTCTACCCACTGAGCTGCATCCTGTTCTTCATTGAAAACATTTTTGGACAATGAATTCTTTTTTATTTTTACTTCAAAACTCTTCTTCTCCTTCTCCTCCTCCTCCTTCTTCTCCTCCTCCTTCTTCTCCCTTCTTCTTTCTTCTTTCTTCTTCTTCGATTGAACCCAGGAGCACATAACCACTGAGCACAGTCTCAGTCCTTTTTTTGTTAAGTTGATCAGGGCCTTGCTAAGTTGTTGAGGCTGGCTTTGAACTTGCAATCCTCCTGCCTCAGTTCTCCAAGTTGCTGGGATTACAGGTGTACATCACTGCACCTGACTTACTTTAAAATTTTTAATTAATTGATTAATTTTGGTGCTTGAAATCCAACTTGTTCCCAAAGTGCAAAGCCCCCATGTCTCCAGTAACATTTGTATCACCCAGGAACTGGTTAGAAGTATAAATTCCTAAACTTCTCTCCAGAGGTACTAAATATAAACTTGTGAGGTGGGGGCCCTCTGGGTCATTAAGATATATGCTACAGTTTCAGAATGATTGCTTGAAAAAAAAAAACCAAAATCACCAGGCTGGGGTTGTGGCTCATGATTCAGTGCTTGCCTAGCATGCACGAGGCACTGGGTTCCATCCTCAGCACCACATAAATGTAAAATAAAAATAGTGTGTTCACCTAAAACTTAAGAATAAATATTAAAAAAAAAAACAAAAACAAAAATCACTATCTAGTGGCTGGGCTTTAGGTCTGTGGTAGAGCAGAAGATAAGCATGTGTGAGGCCCAGGGTTTCTTAGCACCACACAAAAAACGCACATCCTCTGTCTGAACAGTGCTTGCTTCCTGGTAGGTGCAATTTGGGGAATCCTTTTCTTTTTTTAATATTTATTTTTTAGTTGTAGTTAGACAATACCTTTATTTTATTTATTCTTATGTGGTGCTGAGGATCGAACCCAGGGCCTCACATGTGCTAGGCTAGTGCTATACCACTGAGCCACAACCCCAGCCCCTTGGGTGATGCTTTCATTACACTGATAAGAGCCCCTGAGTGAGGGAGACTCAGTCTAGAAGCTGATCTGGAATGGGGGGAAGACCCGAGGAGGCTGCCCTGAGGACTGAGGTTTGAATGAGCTCTGGAAAGAGTAGGCTTGGTGTTAAGAGGAAAAGTGTCCCCAGGGAAAAAAAAAAGCCTGTGTGAGGGCTCTGAGATGACAGGGGCTGAAGGTCATAGGGCTAGGCACATACGTGCTTGAGCATTTGGACTGTCCATGTACCCCATGTGTGGGCATCCTGTAAATAGACCTCCCCTATTTTGTACCTACCCAGGGTGTTGGAATGAGCTTTGCAGTGGAAGAAAGCCCCTGGCCCTGAGCACCAATCCTCCTACTCCCCTTGCCATGTGTCCTTCAGCTAGTTACTTCCTCCTTTTAAGCCTCAGTGTCCTCATCTGGGAAATGGGAACAACCATGCCTTTCTGGAAGGGCTGCCCTGAGAAGGGAATGAGATCACCAGCTCTGCACAGCCAGCCACAGGGTCCTGGAGGCCATTCCCTCCTAATCTCCGTGCAATAACAGCTGTTGTTTACTAAGCACTTACAAGCACTCTGAGTGGGTGTCGTCATTCACTCCTGTGTTTCGGGTAGGAAAATGGAGGCTCAGGGAGGGTAACTTCTGTCACAGTATCATTCCTCTCACCCCATGCACAATCTGACCCTTCCTCCCAGGTGCCCATTCACCAGCCAGCTGTCTCCTGTCCCTTGGCAGGGGCTTTCCACATCAGGGTGACTGTCTCTCTCTTGTTCTCCTCAGAGCCCTGACAGATACAAGCAGCCAGCAAGTATCAGAATCTGGAAGGAGGACCAGTGCTTTTCACTGGCTTGGAAGCCGCTCAGAACTCAGGCAGACCAAGGGGGCCAGGCCCCAGCTGTAGCCATGCTGCCCAGAGAGGCTGGGGAGGGCAGGCGAGATGGATGAGCAAAGCTTGCACCAGGGAATTACCAGCATCTGTCTCCTGACATGGGATGTCAGGAATGTGGAAGAGTCCCAGAGTGTGTGCCTGCCAGGGAGGCTGGCAGGGAGGGGGCACAGAGTAGGCAGCTGGGTCCCTCCTGGCCTCTAGGAACTACCAGGCAGCAGCTGCCCCTGTCACTCTGAGTGACCTGGTCTGGTCTCCAATGTACACAGAGCCTGCTGGGAACCAAGGGTGTTGGCCCAGCTTCTTTATCGAGACCTATTCTTTTTTGTTGTTGTTGTTGTTCTTCAGTGTTGAGGATTGCAATGAGGGCTTTGTGCGTGTGCATGCTATTCGGGTGGTCTACCACTGAGTTATAACCCCAACCCCAAAGTTTGTTTTTTTGTTGTTTTTGTTTGTTTGTTTTGTTGTAATGGGGTCTCACTGTGACTCCTGAGCTTAAGCAATTCTCCTTCCTCAGCCTCTTGATTAGCCAGGACCAGAGGTGTGCCACCACAGCAGGCATATCCCTCAATGTCACCACCATTAAATGGAAGAATAATCTTCATCTGACGGGGCTGTGGTAAGGGAGAACAGGGTGGTAGGTGAGTCTGACAGTGCAATGAATAATGGGCCACTCTATCCACATCCTCTTGTCCCATTCTAACCTCCCCACCCTTTCCTTCCCTAGGCAAGTCTGAGGAATGAGCTTCTCCTGCACTGTGAGGGCCTGGGTTAGTGAAGGACACAGACACTGGCCAAGAGCCTCCAAAGAGAGATTCAACGTCTGGGAGTAGGGCTTGGTCAGAAAGTGTGGGGGGTCCAGGGAGCCAGTGCAGGAAGGAGCATAAACCAAGTGCTGCTTTGTGATGCTGCCCCTGCAGCCACCAGCAGGGAAATGGTGAACAAAAGGAATCCTGGAGACCTTAATTTAGGGAGAGGGATGCTCAGGGACATAAAGCCAGTTCCCAGTGAAATACTATAGCATAACCTATGGGGACTGCCCCCAAGCATAAGTATATCCATCCATGTTTCATCTGAAACCCAATCCCTAGAGATAGGCAGGACAGGAGCTGCCCATTATGCTGGATTAAAAAAGTGGCCTTCAGATAAGTAACAGTGCTGGCCTCAATACCACAAGTGGGTGCAGGATTTCATCATCCTGGCTCCAAGTCCAGTGTCTTTACCTCCTGTTAGGGAATACAATTCCTGGAGGAAGGAAGGTGGTCAAGGTGACTTCCGGTTTTCTGGGCTGGTGTCATCTGTGAGATGGGGTACCCTGGAGGAGAAAAGAGTTTTCAGGGGAAGATGGGTAGTGCAGTTTGGGACATGGTGAGCCAGAGAGGGTATGGGGAAAATCCCGAACAGCAAGAAAAGCTGCTCCCTTCATGAACTGTTGCTCAGTCTTCCAGGGCAGCCCCAAATTCGGATATTCAATTCCTTAGAAACTAAGTGTTGGGCTGGGGATGTGGCTCAAGCAGTAGCGCACTCGCCTGGCATGTGTGCGGCCCGGGTTTGATCCTCAGCACCACATACAAACAAAGATGTTGTGTCCGCCGAAAACTAAAAAATAAATATTAAAAAATTCTCTCTCTCTCTCTCTCTTAAAAAAAAAGAAAGAAAGGAACTAAGTGTATTTTCAGCTACATTTCCTGAGAACCCCGAGAGCAATCCAGGCAGGCTCCATAAAGGCTGTCTTAGTTGGGCAGTATTGTCCCAGGCCTGAGCCTGCAGGAACAGGGCAGGAGAGCACCACCCACTCCATCAGGCACTGTCTCTGGCCTCCCCATAGCCCTCCCCTTGAGCTTCAGGGGCTGGGGAGCAACAGTAACTGTCAGAGTGAAGCCAAGGAAGATTCTAGGCTTAGAGGTCTGGGAAGTCGATCCCTCTGAGAAGGGGGTCTGAGAGCAGGGCTATGACAGCCTTCCTTATGAAGGACGATGCAGGCAGGGACAGCTGCAATCCAGTCAGGCAGCAACCAGCTGCTTCCCCTGAGACTGGCCAGAGCAAGGTGGGGTGGGCACAGCCCCTGCAAGCCCCAAGCCCGAGCCAGCAAAGCGTGGGAGCAGGCAGCGGCTGGAGCTTGGTTTCAGGTTTTCATGCTGTGTTAACGGTCAGCTTGGTTAATGTTGAGCAGATGAGGGAGGGGAGCAAATGGGAGGGAGCATGCCAGCTTCCTGGGGGATAACCATGATGCATACAGGCATATGTGTGTGTGCAGAGGGTACAAGGGTCCCGCCCTATGGATGAGGCAGTCAGGCTCCTTTGCTCATGAATGCTTGTTCACACCGTTGCATACACAAGATGGTGCTCAGAGGACACCCAAAGACAGAGGCACACCTGGGCTTAAGCAAGTGGGTGAGCTCCTGGGCTCCCGGGGCAGAAGTGGATGCAAATCCAAGCCCTGGCACAGAGCCCTCAGTCTGCTTCCCTTAGGCAGAACTCCCAGCTTGGGGGACCCCTCCACGCTATTCCCTGTTCATACCCTTAGGGGAGACATCAGGCACACAGAGGTTTATTTCAAAAAATAATTTATAAAAGAACATTTGCTCCTGTTTTTGGCAGGCTCTCAGTCTCTTGGGGGCACCGAAGCCAATACTTCCACCAAGATGCTGGGACAAGCAGCAGGGGGTGGGGGTACTTGGGGAAATGGGGTTCAGAGGCATCTAGTCTCTCAGCTGTTGCCGGGGAGGAGGGAGGTGTGACAACAGCTCTGTAGCCAGGCACAGCCAACCCAGAGACAGGAACTGAGTGCCAAGGCCCAGGAGGCTGAGCAGCATCCTGACACTCAGGCCATTAGGATAGTGGCGTCATACTCTAAGGGCAAGGACAGGACCTGAGACTAGGGTTGAACTCTGGACTGGGAGACCAAGGCAGAGCAGAAAGCCTTAAATAGAACCCCAGGACCAGATGGACCTTCCCAAAATGGAACTAGAGATCTGGGACAGCACCCTAAAGAAGGGGACTGGGGTAGCCAAAGTCAAAAGCTGTGTCTGATTGTGGCTAAGCCAGGGGGTCCTGGGCCATTGTTCATGTCTGCACTCCAGGGAAGGAGAAGGGGCTTGGCTCCAGTGGCAGGGGTTCGTGGCTGAAAACAGAGTCATTGGAGGAGCAGGTGCTGCTGGCGTCCCCACTGGAGGGGGAGTAGTGTCCAAAGGTCAGACGAAGGTCTAGGTACTGTGGGGAACAGAGCTAGTCAGTCCCATAGCCACTGGGAACACACGTCCATGTATTCATGTGGGTGAGGCCCAGAGGGGAACGTGCAGAGGGAGATCACAAGACACAGGATAGGAGCAGTACCTCCTCAGAGACGGCCAGCAGGACCTTATCCAGTGCTTCCACCAGCTGCTTGAAAGTGGGCCTCTGAGAAGGTGCTGCATGCCAGCACTCACGCATCAGTCCATACCTGGAAGAGGTGGGGTACAGAGAGGGTCAGAGAAGCCCCACACCCCAGGGAGGGGAGAACTATGGGGCTCCTGTGGTGGATGCAGGGTAGGTGGAGCCATTCAGTGTGAGGGTGCAGAATCCAGGCCCAGGGTCCCAATCAGGCTAAGGGGTCAGGGAGGGAGAGGAGGCAACAGCAGCCATAAGAGTCCATGCTGCCCTCTTGGCCAGTATCAGGGAGGATGAGGACTGCAAAGTAGGGAAGGGCAGTGCCAGGTCTCACAGCTCTGGGGGGCAGTTTGGGGGCCGGTCCATTCGATGTCCTTCCCGTAGCAATGAGAACAATTCTTCTACAGGGATACCAGGATACGGGGAGCCTCCAAGTGTGAAGATCTCCCACAGCAGGATCCCAAATGACCACCTGGAGGAAGGACCAGAGCTCAGTGGGGCACAGCTTTCCTTGCTGTTCCTGGAAACTGTGTTGGGGGACACTGCAGGAATGACCCACCACTCAGGGTGGGAATTGGATTCTGGGCTTTATTTTTTTTGTGCTGAGGACTGAATCCAGGGGTGCTCTACCAATGAGCTACACCCACAGCCCTTTTTATTTTTTATTTGGAGAGAGGGTCTCATAAAATAGCCAATATTGGCATCACACTTATGATCCTTCTGCCTCAGCCTCCTGAGTTACTGGGATTATAGATATGTGTCACTGTGCCCAATTGGAGTAGGCTTCTTTTGGAGTCTGGTCCCACTCAGTTCCCAGGTCCGATCAGAAGAAATTCTTGAGTATAGGACATCCAAGGTCTTCTGACTGACTTTGGCAAGTGCCTTATCCATTTGTGTATATATGTGTGTGTATATAGTGCTGGGGATGGAACCCAACAACGCATGTGTACTAGAGAAGCACACTACCACTGAGCTACATCCCCAGTCTCTCTTATTTTTTCTATTTATTTATTTTTAAAAATTTTTAGGGGCTAGGGTTGTGGCTCAGCGTTAGAGCACTCGTCTCTCACGCGTGGGACCCTGAGCTCGATTCTCAGCACCATGTAAAAAATAAATGAGTGAAATAAAGGTATTGTGTCCAACTATAAAATAAGTATTAAAAAAATTTTTAGTTTGACATAATAACTTTATTTATTTTTTTTGATGTGTGGTGCTGAGGACTGAACCTAGGGTCTCTCATGTGTGAGGCAAGTGCTCTACCTCTGAGCCACAACTCCAGCCCCGCTCCTTTTTTTGTTCTGAGGATTGAACTATGGGGCACTTGGCTACTGAGCCACATCCCCAGCCCCATTTTGTATTTTATTTAGAGACAGAGTCTCACTGAGCTGCTAAGCACTTTGCTGTTGCTGAGGCTGGCTTCGAACTCACGATTCTCCTGTCTTGGCCTCCTGAGCCGCTGGGATTACAGGCACCTGGCCCCCCTTTTATTTTTTGAGAGAGGGTCTTGTGAAGTTGCTGGGATTATAGGCATGTGCTACCAGGCCTGTAACCTTGCCCTGATTATGGGGTAGGACAGAGATCACTGTTAGATATCTGGGACCCCCCCCCAGATCCTAGAACTCACACATCACTCTGGTGCGTGTATACTCGGTCAAATAAGGCCTCTGGTGCCATCCACTTTACTGGCAGGCGGCCCTGGAGGGGGAAGGAGGAAAACATGGTGTAAGTACCATGGGTCCCTATGCTTGCCACCAGGCTCAAGCCCCTCCCACCCCAGCCTTCCTTACATTGCTGGTTTTCTTATAGTAGTCAATGTGGTGCACACCGCGGGCTAGCCCAAAGTCGGCGATCTTCATCACATTGTCTTCAGTTACCAGAACATTACGGGCAGCTAGGTCCCGGTGGATGCACTGGGGACAGGACAGGGGACTTAGCTTTATCAGGAAAACTGGAAACTGTGCATGTGCCATCTCACAGTAAGCCTGGGGCTGGGCTTGCCCACCCATTTTATAGAGAAAGAAGTCAAAATTCAAGGAAGGGAACCTAAAGCATCCAACTCAGGGCCACACCTTCTCTCTGCATCACTGCTTCCCTCCCTCACCTGTAGGATAGGGAACAGGTGAGGGAGGAATGAATGTGGGCCTGCAGGGCAACTGTATATGAGCAGGGAAGGTTGTGAAGGACTTACAGCCATTTAGACAGGGTCATGAGAAGGAGGAAGTGGTTGGAAGTTGGGGACATTTAATGTCAGCAGCATGAGAGAGTGGAGGTGAAGTTAGAGGGGTCCAGGGCTCTGATTGTAGCTCGCACCTTCCGAGACTCCAAATACTGCATGCCTCGGGCCACCTGATAGGCGCAGGAGACCAGAGCTGGGAAGGAGAGAGGCCCCTCACTGCTCCGGGGCCCATCAGGGCTGAGGTCAGGGCCTGGGGGGCGGCGGGCCCGGAGGAACTCCCGAAGGTTTCCTTTGGCAGCACACTCCACGATCACATATAGGGGACCTGCCGAGGAAAGGCAAATGGTGAGGGGACAGAATGGCTGCAAAGGCTATGGCTGTGTTTCCCAAATGCCCCATCCTCCTGGGCACAGACTCCGGCAGGTTGGTTTTTTCCCTGCAGAACTGGGGATGAAACCCAGGGCCTTACATGTGCTATGCAAAGTACTCTACCACTGAGCTACGTCTCCAGTCCATTTTATTTTGTATTTTGGGACAGGGTCTCACTAATTGCCCAGGCTGGTCTCGAACTTGCCTGGCCCCTGCCCCACCTTCCTGGGTGCAGACACCCAGCAGATTTATGATGTTCTTGTGTTGGCCGATTAGCTTCATCACTTCCATCTCAGAGACCAGGTCCGCCAGGTCCTTGTCGGAGGCATTGTCTGCAAGGACAACAGTTGGGGTGAGGCAGGTACCCTGCCACTATGCAGGTGAGGCTACCGGGCTGGGGACAGGTCAAGGAGCATTGGACCAGAGCTCAGGTGGGATCTGGGCCTGAATCCCCACTAGGCTGCATGGCCTTGACCAAGTCTCCCAGGTTGGGGATGTGACACATTCATTGAGCACTTGCCTAGCATGTGCACAGCCTGGGTTCAATCCCCAGAACCACTCTGAATGTCAGGTTTGTCTTGTATGAAACAGAAGAATAGATCATACCCCACCTCTCACAGTAGTTTCGAGGATGCAACAAGATCAAGGATTTGAAAGAGGCAGGCTTTCTAGTGAGCCACCCAGGAAATGGGAGAGAGTGGGGAAAGCGCCAAACAGGAAGGAAGCTGTGTCTGGAGGGGTTGGCACTGGTCCTTAAACAGGGTGAGAGCTCCTAGGGGTGGGAAGCAGGCTGGCGCCCTGAGGTCTGTCTGACCAGGACCTAGCGTTCATCTGGCCTGGGAATTCAGGGAACTGCTGGCAGAATGCAGCTAGGGAAAGCTGGGAAGAAAGCTGTTCCAGCTTTTCTTTTTTTTTTAAATATTTATTTATTTAGTTAGTTATTGGCAGACACAACATCTTTGTCTGTATGTGGTGCTGAGGATCGAACCCGGGCCGCACGCATGACAGGCGAGCGCGCTACCACTTGAGCCACATCCCCAGCCCCCAGCTTTTCTTAAGGAGGCTGAGGACCAGGGCCTGGGCCCCCAGGCTGACCTGTGCCCCTGCGACAATGACATGACACTCCTTCCAACAACATACACAACAATATCATAAGACATATTTCTCAATCTCTGCCTCCCAGAAAGTACCAGGTGGCCCCAGCTGTGCAGAGAGGAGGAGGGAGCAGCAGTGAGTGATTTGGGTCATTCTTGCAGAGGGGGTTAGGAGACAGCAGGAAAAGGCCTGAGTGGGCAAGTTCTAAGTGGGCCCTGCAAAACATCTAAGGCTCCTATTTGAGGTCCGGGACTTTTAAGCAGAGAAGTTATTCTCCTGTCCTAAAGGAGACAGATCTAGAAATAGTCTGGGGGTACTAAGGGTATTTTTAGGGGACCCATGGGAAATGAGATATGAGGTCAAGGATGACTGACACAGGTCAGAGCTCAAGGGGGATATCAAGCCCCTCTCACCCCAGTGGTTAAGATTTACTGAGATTTGACTATGTTGCAAGCACTTTTCCATGAACCTAAGGGTAGGAACTATCATATAACCCAATGTAACACTAGGGGGAAATGACTTGCCAGAGTCACTTGGATACCAGGATCCCAGGGGCCCCAGTGCTCACAGGCAGCACTGTGAGCTCCTTCTGTTAGTCCCAGCACCATAGTGCCTCCCCCCGACAGGCTGCCACATGCACACCTTTGAGCATCTTGACAGCCACAGTGCTGGTTTGGTCAGGCTGGGCAGGGTCCATGCCGAAGGCTTCTGCGCGCACCACCTGCCCGAAGCAGCCCTCGCCTAGGGGCTTCCCGAGCACCAGCCTGGAGATCAAGAAAGCCCAGCCTCAGACCCTGGGCATCACTCTGGAGCCTACACCCCCATCCTCACTCTACTCATGTACCTGTCCCGGGGGAACTCCCACAGCGGATCAAGAGGAAGGTCTAGATTCACGAGGCCAGCGAGCAAGGGAGGGCCGCTGGAGGAGAGCCGGACGCCTCGCACCAGGGATGAGCTTGATTTGCCTGAGGAGCCCGACTCCAGGGAGAACTGCAAAGTGGGAGACTTGGCCCTGTTTCCTGGGGTCAGGCTGAGAGCCTTAGGAGAATGGGAATGAGGGACGGGCAATGGTACCTGTCGGCCCAAAGGGAATCGGGACAGCTTTTGCACGGTGGCAGGCTGGCGGGAGTGCTGGCTGTGGAGTGCCTGCCCGCGATACAGCCCAGCCAGCAGCAGGAGCACAGCTAAAGCCAGGGAGCCTGATGCATACAGGATGATGTCTGTATACCTGGCCTCTGGCACTGTTGCTGTCCACGTGAGGTCCTCTTCTACCCTCGCAGATGGATAAACACAGAGAGAAAATGACTGGTCAGTAGTCAGACTGACCAAACCCTGATCCCAACTCAGGTCCTCATGGCTGCCAATACATATAGGGATATACTGAGAAAGCTGCAGTTACGTCAGGTATGGGTATATGTGACCCAAACCCCCGAGGGCCACACAGTCATATGCAGTAAAATTAAACACACAAATCTTGGCTCTGGGTGTGGCTTAGTGGTAGAGCGCCTGCCTAGCATGTACAAGGCTCTGGGGTCCATCCCCAACACTGCAAGCAAACAGAAATCTGAACACTGCGTCCCAAGCCCAGACCCCACAAACCAAGACAGACAGCCCACCCAAAAATCCAGAGCCCACTCTGGGATCACAGTGGGATTCTGCAGGAACTCCCAGCTCCCTCAGGAGCTTACCTGGCAGCACCGTGAGCCAGGCTGACTGGTAGGAGAGGCCAATGGAGTTGCCTGCCAAGCAGGTGTACTCGCCTGCATCCTCAGCCGACACATTCCGGAGGTAAAGGACCTCCACCTCTGAGCTGTTAATGTCTGCTGTCTGGGGTCAGGAGACACAATCAGGGGTCACAGCAGGCCTGGGCCCACACTGTAACTGAGAGGGCAACTGGGGACCTCACCACCCCAGGTGGTAGGAGGACAGGGTCCAGATACTGGTAGGAATTGCACCTTGAGGACTTGCACATAGGGGAAGCCGTCAGCTCCGAAGCTGCTGCCATTGATGACGATGTGCTTCAGCCACTGGATGTGGGGCTGGGCATCGCTGTACACCTTGCACAACAGCTCCACATCACTGCCCGCCACAGCTGTGGTGTTGGCTGGGAGCCCCGCCTGCAGGATGGGCCGGTGCGGGGACCGCTCTGGGGGCCAGGCCGGGACGTCAACCCTGACCAGTGGCACCTAGAATCACCCTGTTTATCTTCCTCAATCCTTCCCAGAGCTTAAGAGGACAACCTTCCTGACATGCAGCTCAGTCCTGGTCTATCTCCTGAAACCTTCCATGGTTTCCTTTTTCCTTTGGGTCCAGAATAACTTCTCAGCCTCTTTGAGAACCTTCTAATCTGCCTCCCTATGCAATGCTATACCCCAGAGATAGACTTCCCCACAAGGCACTGCCTTGTTGGCACTTTTTTTTAGGGTACTGGGGACTGAACTCAGAGGCACTCAACCACTGAGCCACATATCCCCAGCCCTATTTTGTATTTTATTTAGAGACAGAGTCTCACTAAGTTGTTTAGCACCTTGCCATTGCTAAGGCTGGCTTTGAACTCTGCGATCCTCCTGTCTCATCCTCCCAGACTGCTGGGATTATAGGCATGCACCACTGCACCCATCTGCACTTAGGTCCTTAACTCAGCACATGCCCTCTCCCTGAATGTCTTTCTCACTTTTCCTCTAGGCAAGTCAGGCCTGCATAACCCTTGTGCTTCTCTCTGGCCCACCAGTCACTTTGAGCTACTTGACTCATCTAAGACTGAGCCCAATTTGTCTGCTAGCCTGGGTTTCCCCAAGGACAGGACTGAACCTAAGGCAGTCAATACCCCCTCTCAACACCTTCCCAGCCCAGTCACTCACCCAGCACATCCAGCAAATAGCTGTAGCGGATGCTGCCCAGAGAGTTCTCTACGAGGCAAGTGTATGTGCCACGGTCCGAGGGCACCACACTTTCCATCACCAGGCTCCAGTGCTGGTGGCGCAGCTGAGGGCAAAGGAAATACTCATATGGGACCGTTAAACAATATCTACCCTGGAGGGCCAGGGCTGAGAAAGCTAATCCTGTCCACAGGGCTGTTCTTGAGCCACCTAGGCCCTGAGGAGGGTCAAGCCAAGGACAGGGACCCTTGGAACAAAGAAAGAGAGTCTGAGAAATATCGGAGCCCTGGGTTTGAATCTTTTTGAGTTTTAGCTCTACCTTTCTCAACCTCTCCTACCCGGTGCCAGTCTTTGCCTGATGGGAGTCTCAGCTTCCTATCAGAGCACAGAGCTGACTCTGGATGGTCTCATCCTGAGAATGAGATGCTAAGGCTTATTGATACCTACTGGTCAACGAGTCTTCCCACTTTACAGATGGAGTTGCTAAGGCTAAAAGGTCAAATCACTTGGCAGACAATAGCAGAGTAGGAACTTGAACCAGAACTGAGGCCTCACAATTATCTTCCCTGTGAGATTTATTTATACATGAGGGATGATGGGGGGATGAAAATGGGGGAGCAGATGGCCTTGGAAGCCAGAAGACTCACTCGAATGCCTCCTATGCGATTTTCCCCATGGAAGTCCTGTCCATCCTTGAGCCAGCGGATGGTGGGCACAGGGTTGCCTGCAGCTGGACAGCGGAACTTGACTGTGTTCCCAGCAGGCACCGCATGCAGTTTCTTCTCCATGCGTTGGGGGTGTGTCCAGTAGGGTGCTGGAGGAGAAAGGGAAGGAGGTAGTAGTTTGTGCCCCTGTGACGATCACTAGCGCCCACACAGTAAGGAATGGGCCACGGTGGGGACATGAATCCTTAAGGACTCATACCAACCTTGCTGGTGGTAAATGTGCACATTCGAGGAGTCCCTGTGGGCCGTGGGGTCCTTGTCATCATTGCTGGAGGTCAAGGAGTCTGTATCATGGACGGAGGAAAGCTTCTGAGATCCAAGAAGGGAGATTTTTTATTTTTTTTTAATATATATTTTTTTAATATTTATTTTTTAGTTTTCGGTGGACACAACATCTTTGTTTGTATGTGGTGCTGAGGATCGAACCCTGGTCGCACGCATGCCAGGCGAGCGCGCTACCACTTGAGCCACATCCCCAGCCCCCAAGAAGGGAGGTTTTAGTCCCCATGTACCTTTTAACCCCTGCCAGACCCTCTTACCATCTGCAACCAAGGTGAGATTGTGCAGGACAGTCATAGAGCCACGTGCTAGGCAGAGGTAGTGGCCAGCATCCTCTGGTAGAAAGCTGGCAATCTCCAGGCGGCCCCTCCAGCCCCGAACTCGGCCAGCAGGTGCCAGGCGACTACCCTCCTTATACCAGTGGCCACCACGCTCAGCCCTCCCACAGCACAGCCTCAGAGGCTGCCCAAGCGCCACTGTCAGCTCCTGCTCTTTCTGCTCCAGGCTGGGGGCCAGGCAGGGCTCTGAAGGCAGAGGGTAAAAGCCAGTGAGCCCCACAGTGCCACCCTAGGCAGCCCCTGCATATGAAGAACACGCTGCACACACGGGACAAAAGCACCTTGGACACATGCTGGTCAAGCTGCTGCCTCTACACACACACACACACACACAACCACACGCTACAGATGCTATGCACAGAGTAAATGCCACATTTCTAGGGCATGTCATACACAAAGTACTTGGCACACATGCTACATATACCACTGTACAAGACACACACATGGGCACATGCTATAGGTGCCATATACAGGGCAGACACACATCACACTTCTGAGCATATCACACTCGGTGCATACAGCACACATGCTGCCTGTATGTTCTAAGCCATACCCAAGTACACAGAAAACACACACACACACACACACACAGCCAAGGGGCTCACCACTGGCTCTGCAGCCCAGCAAGGCCAGTCCTCTCTTGGAGACAGAGATAGATGGATGCTTGCTGGGAGCCAGACTCTGAGTCTCAGTAGTTGAGCCCTGCCCTGCGCCACCTTTTCAGGGCCAGGGCCAGGATCCTCTCCAGCTTTACTCAGTCAGCAGTCCCCTCCTATTGCCCATGCATCCTGCCACCCTCACCCACTTTAGAGGTCATACCCAGCTCCGTTTCCTCAGAGGCCTCTAGGTTCAAGGCTGGAGCCCTGGGTGCCCCCAGCAGGACTCCAAACAGGGCCAACAGCAGCTGCATCTCCTTCCTGCTGCTCTCAGGGACCCAGGCTGAACTTTCCACCAACTGTCTTCCTAAAACAGGAGGAAAAAGAGCTGTTACTCCATCAGACTTTGTTGGCACAATTCCCTTATTTTGCAGATGAGGAAACTGAGACAGAAAATGGTCCACAGACTCATCCAAGTCCCCAGTCAGGCTTGGGGAGCTGGGCAGAGAGGGGGAAAAGTTCTGTCATTGCCAGAGTCCAACAAGTTCTGCAGGGGGGCTGAGCTGGGCTTCCTGCTCTCCTTGGGTCCTGCTGAGACCCTGGCATGAGTTCACAGAAAGAACGGTTTGGGAATTCTTTGCTTGGAGGGAAGCAGAGATGGAGACATATCTTATGCTTGCTCTCAGCATCCATTATCTATTTTTTCTTTTTTGCTGAATAAAGGAATTTATTGCTGAAAAGCCAAAGTGGGGGGAAGTAAAATATAACACAAGGGCAAACATCAGCATGTGGATGCTATCTAATCTGATCTACTCCTAATAGCATGATTGACAGAGACACATCCAGCTTTGGAACCCTCCAATGGCTGGGCGCTCACAACTAACAAGGCAGCACATTCCAGGTCAAGCAGGACATTCTTGCTCGTGCTGAACCAGAAATGCATTTTAGGGATACTTCTGCTTTTTGGGCCCCACAACTCTATCTGAGGCAACATAGGGTTTTTTGTTGTTGTTGTTGTGGTGGTGGTGGTGGTGGTTGTGCTGGGGGTGGAACCCAGGGCCTCGTGAATGCTAAACAAGTATTTTACCACTGAGCTACATCTCCAGCCTGGTTTTGTAAAGAAGGTAGACTTTAGGTGTCAGACAGTGCCAAGCTGTAATCCTGATTTTTACCAATTTGTAAGTCCCTGTCTTTGTCCCTCTCTGAGCCACAATCCTCACAGGACTGGTCTGAAGATAAAAGAGATAATGTATGTAGGGACCGGGCACACAGAATGTGCATACAATGTTCTCCCCATTCCTCTCCCTAGGAATGTTCATCCATCACTGTAGTTCTGCCTCAGCCAGTCTTGTCTGGTTCTGAAACTCCTCCTGTCAGGTGTGATATACACATCCACCCCATCTTGTTAACCTCTTCCAAATGCTTCAGAAGATATCTCTATCTACCGAAAATAAGACTCAGAACTGAGTCTCAGCTTGATCAGGGGATGTGGTGACCAGTGTAGTTTCAGGGACCTACTTATTGGCTGCTTCCTGGGGCTGGATAACACCCAGGTGGCACTAGGGTTTCTGTAGCAGAGCATAATTCTCTTTATTTTTTTACATTTTTGTGGTGCTGGAGATTGAACTGAGGAACTCAGACTTGATAGGCAAGTGCTCTACCCTGAGTGACATCACCAGCCTTTTTATTTTGAGATGGTCTCACTAAGTTGCCAAGGCTGACCTCAAACTTGAATCCTTCTGCTTTAGCCTCTGGAGGAGTTGGGACACAGATGTGTCTCACTGTTTCTGGCCTGAGCATGATTCTTAGATGCCTTCCACACTCTTCTCAACTGGGAACCTGTCCAGGAAGCTCATCACACTGGCTTCTCCTTAACCACTGCTACTATACTTCTAGTCTATTCTGCCTTCACAATCCCTCTCCAGTCTATCCCATGTCCCTTACTCCCTATCCGCGGCGCGTCATGGTGTTTCTAGCTTCGGGACTTCGCAAATATTCTTCCTGGGCTCTTCAGCCTTCACCCTCAAGCAGGGATTTAAACAAATACAAATCAATCATGTCATCCCTGAAGCTTATAAGCTCTTAAGGAGCTACCTGTGTCCAGCAGATCCAGTCCACACTGTTCACCCAGCATCCTAGGCCTCCTTCTCTGTCCTTGTCCACCTTTTTGGTTCCACTATCTATCCCTTCAGCCCCTTCAGGTACTTTCAGAACTGGAGACATTTGCTGTCTTGCTTATATCTTTATGCCTCTCATTCTTCTTGGCCAACTGTCTCAGATGCCAGGAGCCCAGCCGACCCCCAAATTAAGTTTCTCCCTCCTCTGTACACCCTGCGCCACCACACTCTGATACCAGGCAAAGTAGTTGTCCCGGTCCCAAGCTGCGGCTCGGAGTCGGGTAGGGTTGCTCCTTGGGCTTTATTCCCACTCTCAAAACTGCTCTGACCTTACAACCTCAGAGTCCTTAGCCGGGTCACCGGGGTTGCCGGTCTCTGACCCATTGCCCGGCACGTGCAGCTGGGTGACAGGACTCTGGCAGGAAGGCGGTCCTGGGTTTTCCCTCAGCCTCGCACTCCCGCGCTGGAGGCGCCTGGGTAAATGACTGCACCTCTAGGAGCGTTGGTTTCCTCATCTCTCCGCCCAGTGCGCAGACGGTCAGAGGCTCAAGGACGAGCGCGCTCTCACCCCCGCCCTCCCACACCTGGTCAGCCTCGGGGGGAGGTGCAAGTCAGCGGGTCCCCATCTGCAGCAGTGGAGACAGCTGGCCCGCCCCCGCCCCGGTGAGCAATAAGTAACCAGCTCCGCGGCCAGGGTGCTCTTTGGACGGAAAGGGACAAAAGGCCCTGTGTGCCCTGCGGGTTACTGATTTACCGCCCCCTCCACCCACCCCCGCCGAGTGGACTCCCAGGTCCCCTGCGCTGGGAGGGGGCAGTCGCCCGAGCTCCGCCGCGGCTCGCCCCCTGGCGGCTGGGAGCGCAGCCCGGGAGCTCAGCTCACCTAGATCCTGTGTGGCTCAGTTCCCTGCACAGGGTCCCGGTTCACCTGACTCCTTCGCCGTCCCGCTCCCAGCTTGGGCCGTCCACGACTCCCGCGCCTGGCGGGGTCCGAAGACTCAGCGCGCCAGCTCCTCCGCCCCAGGCGGGAGAGCCAGGAATGTACCCGCTAGCGCGGCGTGGCCGCGGGTGCCCACCTCCTGGCCAGCCCGCCCCGAGCCCCGCCCTGCCTGGACCAGCTCTATCCTCAGAGGCGGGGTCCGGGACGGCCCAGATCCCGCCCATCTGGAGCCCCGCCCCTGAATCCTAGACGGACAAGGTCACCCAATCTTGGGACCCCGCCAGCCTACCAAGCACCCCCTCAGATTCCACCTCATTTGCGCCTTTAAGGTTCCTGGCCAGGCTTCTGAGACCTAGTGCGCTACCTGCTCTATTCTCTGCTCTTCACCATTCAGGGAAGGAGACCTTGACCCAGCTGATTCTTCTTTGTAATCACCATCATCAATTCACTTCATTAGTTCTCTGAACAACCTTCAGAGTGATATCCAAATACAAATCGGCCTGTATTAACCCCTTGAATTTCTTAATAATTTCTCATAGCTCTTTATGTTGATTTAGACATGACTTGGTCCCTGTCCACATCTACAGCTGGAATCTTCATTCCCTTACTCTCATCCTCTCTCTTGGCTTTTGCTCATGACATTTCCGTTTCCTGGAATGCCCTTTCCCCTCTTGGTCTGGTTAATTCTATCTCATTTTTAGGTCTCGGCTGACTTCTTCCCTGAAGTCCCCTGGACTTGCCAGGTCTCCTTTTGCATGCTTTTTTTTTTTTTCTTATGAAAATAGAAAAACAGAGTGTCAAGTGGCTCCTGGTGCAGATTGCAGGGGTCCCCTCATGGTTCAAATCTTAGCACCATCACACAAGGCAGCTTACTCCATCTGTGTCCTCATTTTTCTCCTCAGTAAAATGCATACATGATAGTGCTGTGCCCAAGAGGTTGTTGCAAAAAGTAGAGTTCATATGTTAGTATGTGAGCTATGATTATTTGGAACGATTCTTTCTTTCTCTTCCTTCCTTCCTTCCTTTCTTTCTTTTCCACACTAGGGTTTGAACTCAGGGGCACTCAACCACTCAGCCACATCCCCAGCCCTATTTTGTATTTTATTTAGAGACAGAGTCTCACTAAGTTGCTTAGCACCTCACTTTTTGCTGAGGCTGGCTCTGAACTCCCGGTCCTCCTGTGTCAGCCTTCTGAGCCGCTGGGATTCCAGGTGTGGGCCACTGCTCCCAGCTCATTATTTCTTCATCACACTTGCCAGAATTGTAACTGAAAAGCTAATTATGTGAAGAGTTGGGAAATGTTAAAGTTCCTGAAAGGCAGGAACTGTGCCAGCAGACCTCACCCTAATATCTCAAGTGCCTGGCACACAGTAGGTGCCCTCCTGATAGTTTCACCCCCACCTAGCTCAGGCCTGCCTCACCTGCAAACTCTTCTCTCTTGAGCACCTAGATTACGGTTAAGCCTCTGCCCAACTCTCACCCCTTCAACTCCTTACCTGAGTCCTCTGTTCTTCCAAAGTCTCCTTGAGAAAAAAGCTCTCAGCATGGATCAATCCCAGGCTCAGTTCCTGATTATGGCCTCTCAGGCTCTGCTCCTGGTTATGGTCTTTGGTGGGTGGAGACCCTGCCTATGAAACACCTTCCTTTCCGGTGGGTGTGTGTGTGTGTGTGTGTGTGTGTGTGTGTGTTTGCAGTGCTGGGGCTCAAACCCAGGGCCTTGCGCATTCTAGACAAGTGATCTACCACTGAGCTACACCTTTAGACCCTCCTCTCCCTTTGTTATGCAGAGGTATCTCTGCACTCTCACACTTAAAAGGGTGGTGGCATTTCTTTGCATAACTAAAAGGCTGATTTAAAAACAACAACAATAACTTTTTTTTCCTTTTCTTTCCAAACAAAAGAATGGTTTCCACCTAGAGATAAATCAGAAAATCACTGGTTAACTTTTAAAAACAGTTTATCTGGCTGCCTTCCTGAAAGGTCCTGCCTTGCTGGAGCTCCCAGGAAGAATGAGATTACTGGCCCTGGAAACTGCCTTCCAGAGGGGGCCTCACCAGATCTTTCGAACTGCCAGAGGGGCTCAGCTCTTCACCTCTAGCTCTTTGCTGACTCCCCTTATTGAATATGATTGTTGGGGAGGGGCAGGGTGAGCTTCCACAGGAATTGGACCCCCACAATACTGTTTTCAATTAAATGCGAGGTCATTTCCCAGTTTACCTGAATCAAAGGTGAACTAGAGACTTACATAGCTGAGATCCCCAAGTCCTCAGACTGGCAACCCTCAACTCTAAGGCCCTAGGATATGTTCTGCACATCCATTTCTGACCCAGCTCCAATACTCACAAACTCTTACACTGAATCTCAGCAGAGTCTGACCTCTCTATCAAGACCATTCATTCATTTGCTCATTCAATGAACAAGTATTTATTGAAGGTTTATTTTCTGTTTTAAATCCCAGAGATAAAGCAGTGAATTGGACCCCACTTGTAGGCAGATAAACAGTTACTGAAGGGAAGGAGAGATACTGAGGGGTCAGGGAAGGGCACCAAGCTTGTCTCTGTTGATAACACACTTTTTTTTTTTTTTTTGGTACTAAGGATTTAACCTAGGGGCATTTAACTACTGAGCCACATCCCCAGCCCTTTGTTATAATTTAATAAGAGACAGGGTCTCACTAAGTTGCTTAGGGCCTCGCTGACTTCCTGAGGCTGGCCTTAAAATTTTTTTGGGGAGGTGGTACTAGGGATTGAACTCAGGGGCCCTCGGCCACTAAGCCACATCCCCAGACCTACTTTGTATTTTATTTAGAGACAGGGTCTCACTGAGCTGCTTAGTGCTTTGAAGTTGCTGAGTCTGGCTTTGAATTTACAATCCCCCTGCCTCAGCCTCCCAAGCTGCTAGAATTACAGGTTTGTGCCACTGTGTCTGGACTTTTTTTTTTTTTTTTAAAGACAAGAGTCTCTGGGGCTGGGGATGTGGCTCAAGTGGTAACGCGCTCGCCTGGCATGCACGGGGCGCTGGGTTCGATCCTCAGCACCACATAAAATAAAATAAAGATGTTGTGTCCACCAAAAACTGAAAAAAAAAAAAGACAAGAGTCTCACAATATTGTTGCCTAATCTGGCCCCAAATTCTCCTGTCTCAGCCTTATAAATATCTGGATTTATAGGCATGTGCCACCTTACTGGACTTCTATAACATACAGTCTTCTTGCCAGTTATATTTGTAGTCTCTTTCTCAAACACATTTATTTTTCTCTCTTCCTTTCTCTCTTCAGACGCGAAAGCCTTCTGTCTAAGATTCATGCCTTCAGTCTGCCTCAGTTTCTTCATCTAGAAAATGGGCATACTCTAGCTTCTTTCTTTCCAGGGATCTTGGGGATTAAACTCAGGGGTGCTTAAACACTGAGCCACATCTCCTGTTCTTTTTATTATTTATTTTGAAACAGGGTCATGCTAAGTTGCTTAGGGCCTCGCTGAGTTGCTGAGGCTTGCCTTTTGATTCTCCTGCCTCAGCCTCCAAAGACTCTGGGATTACAGTCATGCACCACAAAGCCTGGCTCATTTTTTTTTTTTGATACAGGGGCTCTCTAAATTGCCACAGCTGACCTTAAATTTGTGTTCCTCCTGCCTTAGCCTCCCAGGTTGCTGGGATTACAGGTGTGTGCCCCTGTGCCCAGCTGGAAATGGAATAGGAAATAAGGAAAAGACTCCTCCTTGACTGGGTGTGCCAGGCACCACAGTAGTTGTTGCACATACACTATATCCTTTGATCCTTTCACCAAGCAAAGTGGCTTAGGTAGCCTTCAGTCTGCTTTGCAGATGAGGAAACAAATTCTGGGAGATGGAATGACTTTCCTCAGGTGAATTAGCAAATGAATGGCAGAATTGAGACTCAAATTCTGATCTTTTGGGGCAAAGACGGAGACTTCAGGATGACTGGACATGCTACCACATCAGATATACATATATTTTTTTGAGATGGGGGTCTCCCTATGCTGCCCAGATTGACCTTGAACTCCTGGGCTCAAATGAAACTCCTGCCTCAGCCTCCCAAGAAGTTGTGTCTGCAGGCATGTGCCCCAAAGCCCAGCCACATCAAACACTTTCTGCTGGCTGGTTGGCCAGCCTCTGCCTGTTTGCCTTCCTTCTTACCATCCTTCCTTCCTTCCTTTTCTTACTTTCCTGGAGATTGAACTAGGGGCACTTTACCATTGAGCTACATCCCCAATCCTTTTGATTTTTATTTTTGGTACTGGGGACTGAACTCAGGGACACTCTACAACTGAGCTAAAGCCCTAATCCTTACTATTTTGAGACAGAGTCTCACTCAGTTGCTGAGGTTGGTTGCGAACTTGAAATCCTGTGGTCTTAGCCTCCTGAGTTGCTAGGATTGATTACATGCATGTTCCACCATGCCCAGCTATTATTTATTTATTTGTTTTTTGTGGTGCTAGAACCCAAGGCCTCACACGTGCTAGGTAAGTGCTCTACTTCTGAGCTACATACCCAGCCCTATTTTTAATTTTTTCTTTTTAAAAATATCCCTTTCATTTATATTTATTTTATTTCTCAGCATTCTTTTTTTAAAAATATTTTTTGTTTTAGTTTAGACATGATATCTTTATTTTACTTTTATGTGGTGTTGAGGATATAACCCAGTGCCTCACGCATGCCGGGTGAGCATGCTACCACTTGAGCCACATCCCAGCTCATTTCCCAGCATTCTTAATTGTGGCCCCCAGAAGGTGCAGATGTTTGTGTGGAAGGGGGGTATAATGTAGGGTTGGACACTGCTTTCCCTGCCCTTTTGGGGGACTCATGACATATACCATGCAAACTGTGTGCAAACTGTGCTCCTGGAGTATTAATCTGGTGTGCAAACTGTGCTCCTGGAGTATTAATCTGGGTTACGATGGTCTCCTGAGGCCAGTTCCCACCCGCCCCCACCTGCCTGGGAGCAGAGTCATGGAGGAGAGGGCAGACATTGCCTGATGCCAACAGTGTTGCTCTTGGACAGCAGCCGGTCCCAGGGAACACTGGGGCTCTTGTGTGGAAGGGCTACTGCTGAGCCAGCCTGGTCCCTGGCCAGGCCCCATTCCAGCTCAGGCCTGTCCCCAACTCTTACCCCATCCTCTGATCCAGTCCTGATGTTTCT